AGTTTAATATTATGTATCAGATTTAATAGTTTCTTACTTTATATTGTTCTTTCATATATATATATAGAGAAAGGATCATATGAGAATGACTCTTAATGCGAGAAATGAGAATAAGTTTGGACCATGGGATCAAGCATATCAATGGTTATGATGAAGTCAAATTATGGTCAATCATTAATGGCAATTTGGTAATTATTAACCATAATGTGGTCAAATATGTGTATTTGACCAATAATTAAGGGTATGGTAGTAAATAAACATATAAAGTGGGACCCACTCATTAAATCAATTCAACACACAATTTTCTCTCTACTAACATCTCTTCTCTCATTTTTCTCTCTCCTCAACCTCTCTTCTCTCCATTTTTACGAATCTGGAACATAAACACGTGTATACACACACACACACACAGTCCAGCAGTCCGACCACCACATCGCCGCCGCCTTCCGCCAACATCCATCTGTTCTCGCCCACCTTCCGGCCACTGGAGCATCGCCGCGCAGCCGCCTCCGCCTGTACCTGCACAACCACTGCGGCCTCTCATCTCGCAGCCGGTTTTCAGCTCGCCGTCGTCCCCTTTCTCAGCTTGCCGTCTCCATTCTCAGCCCACCATCAGCATCCCGCCACTGCGATCGCCATCGTACAAAATCAGTCCGCCGTCGAGCACCTCCGTCACCACCCGACTCCGACAACGTCGCGGCCGTCGCTTCCAGACCGACCCCCGCTTCTAGCCCTTGCCGTCTGTCGTCTGCTCATGCCGCCTCCGTCAACGTCGAGACCGTCATCCGTTTTAATGTCGTGAAACTTCTGGTCATCTTAGCCGCTCGCCGGAAAATCGCCGGTGAACGTCGGCGGCCCATAACCGGCCAACGTCGGCCGACAAGACCACTGTGAATTTGGCCGAAATATGGCAGTTGTTATATGATGTGTGTTTGTTTGAGTTTTGGGGTTATTTGTGTGAGAATTTGATTTAATCTAGGGGCCTAATTGCAATTTATAAAATTTTATTTTATTTCAATTGAGTACAATTGGCAAATTGATAATATAATAAGAGTTTAATACGTACACAATAATACATAAAATGCACTATATTGTTTTTTTATATTTTAGTAGAAACTTATAGCTTAATATTTGTATAAAAAAATAATAATAATATTTTTAATATGCTTTTTTTAGTTATTTAAATAAAAAAAATGTCATCGTATCGAAAATATCCCATATATAAAATAATAATAATAGTAATCGAAACCAAATATAAATTTTCGTTCCAAATTTATGTTCGTTGGATCTCGTTCAATTTTGTGCAATACGGTAGACGTTTATGTGCAATTAGTATAACCATTACGTGCATTCACAATACATATAATAATATCATAAAAAAATAGTATAAATTTTTATTAAAATATATAAATAAAAAAGAATTGGTAATATTTTTCATATAGTTCGCCATGTTTAGTTATTTTATTTATTTAAAAAGACTAAATTCGAGATTTAACCAATTAATTTATTCGATCGATTAGCAAAATTACAGTATTTTTTGGTACACGTAGTGTGTCGTTTTATAAGTTGTACCATGTCGTGTTATAAGGTGCAATGTATTTCCGTATACAGTGCAACATATTGATGTATAAAGTGCAATTATGTAGATATATTTTTTAGATTTATACTGCGCAATATTTTCGGCGAGAGTTGCCGACGTTAATTATGTTGATAAAGTGCAACGTGACGTATTATAAAGTGCAACTTGTTGTTTAATAAAGTGCAACATCCCGCCGTATAACGTGCATTAATCAATAAATTATGTGTATTCGAAAACTATTTAATTGATATAATTGTACATTGAATTAACTTAAATAATTAAAATGTCTTCTTATTTACTATTTTTATTATAATTTGCTCATTACTATAAAAAAATTTTATGCTATTTTAATATTTTACATTATTGTTATTTAATAATTTATATATTATTTACCATTTTTTAGATTTATACCGCGTAATATTTTTGGCGAGAGTTGTTGACGTTACTTATGTTGATAAAGTGCAACGTGACGTCTGGTAAAGTACAATGAGTTGTTTTATAAAGTGCAACATTTCACTATATAAATTGCACTAATTTATGCCTTCCCATATAAATAATTTGCATTCGAAAGCTACTTAATAACTATAATTGTACATTGAAATAAATTAAACACATAATTTATTAATTAATGCACGGTCAAATAGTCTAGATTTAGTCAAACACGCAGTGGCATTTAAGTGAACTTTTGATTTTTTCACGGGGGGATATTTTAGTCATTGCACAAATGCATTGTCTGCGATAAAGTGCAATATCACATGCACTAAAGTGCAGTTTGTATAACAATATGGTGCAGTATATAGACTGATATTTTTAATGTGCAATTCCTAAGGCGATATGGTGCAACGCACTGAACATAAATGTGCAACTGTCAACATTTATTAATTTATAAATTTAACCCAAGAACTAAATTAGAATATATTTTAAATTTCTTAATTTACAGATAAGTCCCTTGATTATATTTAATTTACTAAAAAATAGCCCTATTATAATTTCAAGTCAATTTCCAAATCCCTAATTCTGTGCAGCTATTTTCCTTTCTCCGGCAAGGTTGACAGCGCCGGCGTCGGAATGGGTGGAGACGGCAGCGGAAAGGGCGAGTACGGCGGCGGGGAGGGCGGAGATAGCTGCCTCGCCGGACATCATCGAGTGAGATTTGGATGGCGGCAGCAGCAGGAGTGTGCGAAGGCGGAATTTGCGTGGCGGCTGAGGAGGAAGATGATGGTAACGGCGGACGGGATTTGGACGGCGGCCATGGGCGGCGCCGACGGGGAGTGGTCGCACCACTTCAGACGACGAGATGGTCGTCGAGCTCCTGGTGAGTCTCCACCATGCGACGCCACCTCTGCTCGGGTGGGCCTGGGTGATGATGGAGAGGGCAGGACTTGCGCGACAGATGAGAAACGCGGGCGGCGACGGCTTGGGGTTTAGCGGCGGCGAAAATCTCAGAAAACGGGCGGCGGGAATCTTGGAAAACGGGCAACGATGGAAATCTCAGAAACAGGGCGGCAACGGCGGGATTTTCAACGAAATCGGCGTGTTTAGCGGAGGAGGCGTCGACGGCGGCGGGATTAGAGGCAGCGGCAGCGGCGGTAATTTTTTGAGATGGGGGATGAGGTATGTACGAGAGAGAGGGAGAGATTGGAAGAGGAAGGTGGAGATTTGATAGGGGCGGGACCCACAGGTGTGTGGGGGATATGTGGGTGATTGGTTTGTGATAGGGAAAATGTCTCATATGCCCTTAATTGGATCTGTTATAATTACTTATTTACTGTAATGAGTGTGATAATTTGATATTTTTTTATCCGTTAGATTGTCCGATCTAATGGTTAGGATGTATTCCTATTTCTCGCATTAAGGGTCATTCTCACCGGAGCGTGACCCTATATATATATATATATATGAGATANCCTCACGGTGAACATTACACTTTATATTATGATCTTCCGAATTTTTTTAACTTGTAATATGTAAAATTTAAACTTTTACATTTTTCTAATATCAAAGTACTCAAACATGAAATTATGTCGTAGTTTCATAACATTAATTAAATATATTCTCCATTTTTTTTCTTTAAACAAAATAAATCACCATAGGTTAAGGGGTGGATATAAGATGTTGTGACTTTGTTTGAATTTTTTGGTTTGATTTAATTAATTTTTCAAAAGTTAATACGATTAATTGTTACTAAAATTTTAATTTTATATTAAAATAAAAATTAAATTAAAGTAATTGTCTCCCGTAAATCACCTCGCATTTTGTTGCTTCCAAGGTAATATCGCTTAAAGTCAAGGCAGCAGAGAATAAGCAGACATCACAAAAGCATTCTCCTGTGGGGAGTGAGCAATTCTTCTGAGGGAAGTGAGTGATTCGATTCTCTTCTTGGGGAGTTTCATTCCATCGGGGGTGGGTTTTTTGGTTCTCTTTCTTGATATCCTTGTTGTGCTGTTGTGTTAGGGGGATTTAGGGCTTTCTGGATTTTGGGGGTTTAGGTCCCTTTCCTTTTCTTTTTTCCTTTTTCCTCTTCTTTTTCTTTCAGGTTAAGGCTGCTTTGAAGAGCTTTGATGGATTGCGACGTGACTGGGGACAAGAGAATGGATGGAGATGCAGCAGACCTTGAAAATCTTCTTCAAAACATTGCGCTGTCGGAATCGGAAAGCTGTATGATTGATTTAAAAAATGAGGATATCAAGCTAACCGAAGGGGAATGTAAGAAGAGCTTATTTGGCCGGAATTATTGGTGATCGAAGAGCAAGCTTAGTTGGAATCAGAAGAGCTATGGGGGCTATTTGGCAGATTCAACATCCTATGGAAGTTAGAGAAGTAAAGACCAATTTTTTCCAATTTATCTTTGGGAGTGTGGCTGACAAACAAAAGGTCTTATCCGGGACAAACTGGGTTTATGAAAATCAATACTTGATACTTGCTGAATGGGAAGAAGGCTTAACTGAGAAGCATAGCAAATTCGCTGAACTCAAACTTTGGGTGCAAGTCAATGATGTGCCTATCAATTGGCTTAGTATTGAGGTGGGACTAAAGATAGGTCAAATGTTCAAGCAAACCAAGAATGTCACTGTGGTAAAAGCTGGGGGACAGAGAGGCAGCTATTTCCGACTTCTAGCTGTGGTTGATGTTTCTAAACCATTGCCAAGAATAGCAAACCTGAAGCTTAACAACACTCAAGTAAGAGCCAGGTTCCAGTATGAAAAACTGGTCAATACCTGTTATTATTGTGGAGTCATCGGCCATTTAGAGCGACACTGCGGCAAGAAAATGGAAGACATCGATAACAGAACTGTGCGAGAAGGCCAATATGGGGAATGGCTACGAGCAATGGATGGAAATGCGGGATATAGATCGCAATCAGCTTTCAGTACATGAAATCAGTTTACGGGCTCTCCTAGCAAAGAGCAAGAGTCTAGCCATGGAGCCAAACCGGACACCCCTGTTCATAAATCCGCAGGAAGTGAGTCACAACCGAAGCAGGACACGAATCTCAGGTTGACACATATATCAGAACATGTGGGAGAAGCTCCTCAACCCATAGGAGATCAGCAACTATTTTTAGCCCTTGTACCAAGTCCATCTCACCTTCCACTCAATCTTCAATCTGAAACCAATGTGATGGATATAGGTGAAGACTCAAGTCAGCTGTTGGATAACAAGATTGAAACTCTCATGGTTAAATCTCAGAAAAGGAAGGGATGGAAAAGGAAGAGTAAGGAGATTAATGGTGAATCTTCCACACCTACTCTGCCAACTTCAAAACCTGATGATATCATTACCAGAGGCAGAAAAAGAAATGCAGCAACTGTTCCAACTGGAAATGCTGATGAGATCTCAGATCTTAGAAATTCCAAGAAGAAGAAACCTAATTTATTTGAGGTGGAGGTGGCCAGCCTTGAGTGGCCCCCAATGGACCAATGAAGCTCATCATGTGGAACTGTAGAGGACTGGGTGGACCCTCTACAGTTGCCCAGCTCAAAGAGTCTTCTAGACTCATCCATCCAAATTTTGTCTTTTTATCAGAAACCAAAAAGAAAAAATCATTTATAAAATCAGTATGTAATAATATAGGTTTTAAAGATAGATGGTTTGCCGTTGAGCCTCAAGGTTTAAGTGGAGGATTATTAGTATTGTGGAGTGCTGAAATGGTGGTTAAACAAGTTTTTGGTAATCATTTCTGCATCCAGATTGAAATTGAGGGCTCAGGAGGGGATGATTCTTTTTGGATTATATTTATTCATGCCAGTACAGACAAGGCTGAGAGGATGAGACAATGGAATTTTCTGGAAGCAGCTCAAACAGCATGGGGTAGTAAGTGGATTTTGGGGGGAGACTGGAATGAGACTTGTGCACCTAGTGAGAAGAGAGGAGGAAGGGTGAAAGCAGCAGGTGAATTTATCAGTTTCAACAATTTTATAACAAGAACGGGAATGCAGGAGCTCCATCTAACAGGGCACAATTTCACATGGGAGAATTGTAGGAGTGAGGAAGGTTTCATTGAAGAAAAGATAGACAAAATATTTGTCCCTTTTGATTGGCTTGCTGACCATGAGGATGTGGAGGTTCAGAACATCTTTAGAAGCTCCTCTGATCACAGGCTGCTAGCTCTTAATGACAACCCAGCTCGACAGGGACTTAGAAGCAAAAGGTTCTTCTTTGATAAACGGTGGCTAAAAAGGGAAGGAGTACAGGAAGTGGTGCAAGAGGGTTGGCAGTCAGAAATGATTGGTACCCCTATGTATCAATTCTCTGAGAAGATCAAATCCACTAGGCTTGCTCTGTTGAAATGGAGTTCTAGTTTCAGAAAAGACCAATTGAAAGCCAAAGCGGATATTAATGAAAAACTGGAAATGATGAGCACGATGGGAGCTAACAGAGATTGGGTAGAATGGGAGAGATTGAAGAAAGAACTGGATAAAATCACTAAAGATGAAGAAGAATACTGGGCTCAAAAATCCAGAGCTCAATGGATAAAAGAAGGTGACGCAAACACTAAGTACTTCCATGCTTTAACTTTACAAAGGAGGCGGTCCAATGCAATTACTAGATTGGTAAATGAGAATGACCAAGTCCTTGATAATAAGGAAGCCATTCAGCAGCACATTTGCTCTTTTTACAAGCATCTATTCAATACTGAAGGATCAAGGGGTGGTGCAGACATTTTGCAATTTATTCCATCATCTATATCCTCTGAGCAGAATGAAGCCCTTATTGCCCCAGTCACAGAAGAAGAAATCAAAGCAGCTCTATTCAGTCTTGATCCTGGCAAAGCTCCTGGCTTAGATGGTATGAATCCCCTCTTTTTTCAAAAATTCTGGTTAATTATTAAGCATGATTTTTATACAGCAAAGATCTTATCCCTCAGACTTAAGCCTTTATTATCTGATTGTATTAGTGAAAATCAAGCAGCATTCATTCCAGGCAGGCAACTGCTTGACAATGTGGTCATTGCTCATGAAGCAGTTCATTATCTCAATAGGCTTAGGTCTAGGAAGAAGAGCTTTATGTTACTCAAATTAGACATGGAAAAAGCTTTTGATAGGATTGAATGGGAAGGGGTTACTAAAGTTCTTTTGAAAATGAGGTTTCATTCTTCTTTTGTTAAATGGGTGAGGGCATGTATCTCATCTACTTCTTTTTCTATTAATCTAAGTGGGGAGGTCAAGGGATATTTCAGTGCATCTAGAGGCATTCGACAAGGGGATCCTCTTTCTCCTTATATTTTCATTATAATTTCTGAGGTCTTTTCCAGGTTGATTCAGAATGAAGTTTCTAGGGGTTCCTTTAAAGGCCTGAGAATTGCTAAAAAGAGTCCTTCTGTTTCCCACTTGATGTTTGCTGATGACACCCTGGTCATGTGTGAAGCTGATATGACTCATGCTCATATTTTATTGAATCTGCTGCACAAGTACCAGGCTTTTACTGGGCAGAAGGTGAACATGAGCAAATCTTCCATCTTTTTTAGCAGAAACTGCCTTAGTACTACCAAGTTATCAATTTGTCAGCAGTTAGGGGGTATTCAGATTCATAGATCAACCAGATATTTGGGATTACCCCTTGGAATTGGCAGGTCTAAAGAGGATTCTTTTGAGTTTGTTCTGAATTCAGTGATAGCTAAGCTTGTTAGTTGGAAAAACCAGTTTTTATCTTCTGCAGGAAGGGAAGTCTTACTGAAGGCTGTTCTGGGGGCTCTACCTGTTTTTTCCATGTCCTGCTTTTGTCTGCCAAAGACTTTGTGTGCAAAAATTGCAAGACTTTTTGCAAGATTCTGGTGGAGGTCTGGTGACAATCAATCAGGAATTCATTGGAGGGCTTGGAATAAAATTACTATACCTAAGAAAGCTGGTGGTCTGTGGTTTAAAGACATTGCTTTGTTCAATGAGGCTCTTATTGTCAAGCAGATCTGGAGGTTAGCCACTAATCCATCATTACTAGTCACAAGAGTTCTTAGAGGTAAATATTTTTCTGACTGCTCCATTTTGCAAGCTAAAAAGCCTCACAATGTATCCTGGTTGTGGAGTAACTGGTTGTGTGTCAAAGATAAGTTCAAATCCTTTTTCAGAGTGGTTGTTAAGAATGGCAGAACAACAAAAATCTGGAGTGACCCCTGGATTCCAGATGCTGTGGCTGGTTTCCCTCAGAAAACAGAAAGATGAGTAAGGGAGGTTTACTGGGTGAGTGAGCTCATTGATGATGATGGATGGCATTGGAACAGGGAGAAGGTTTTTGAGTATTTCAATCTACCAGATGCTGAAGCTATACTGAAGATCTCCACTCTTGATCCCTTGGCATGTGATAAATGGAGCTGGGTTCTGGATAGTAAAGGTAAGTTCTCAGTCTCAAATTCATATTCTCATTTGGTTCTCTGCAAAATCAAAGACCTTGACATAGCAGAAGGCAGCAATACTGGTATGATGGAGCTGAAAATCAGAAATAGAAGTTGGGGGCTCAAAGTAAAACAGAAGCTAAAGCATTTCATCTGGAAATGCTATAACAATACTCTGCCTGCTAGCTGCAATCTGAGATAGAAAGGGTTGGACATTGATTCAAAATGTAAAAGTTGTGGGGCTGCAGAGGAGACTGTGGAACATATACTTCTTCACTGTGATAGAGCACAAAAGGTTTGGAAGCTATCCCCTTTAATTGGAAATCACGAGATGTCACTAAACCCTTTAAGTATTGGTGGTGGGATGTTTGCTCTGTTGATAAGCAAGTCATATCTGAGGATAGAATAGAGCTATCCACCTACATCTTATGGTGGCTCTGGAAGTCTAGATGTTTATGGAAATTCCAAGACATATGGATGCCTGAGCAAGCAGTGATCAAAACAGCCCACAGTGACTGGTTGGAATTCAAAAACTGCAAAAGATAAAGGGAAGACAGCAGGGAAAATGAAGCCATCTAGGTCCTTTGGTTCAGTGGAGACTTATTTTCCTTTCTGTTTTTCTGTCTATTTCATTTAGTCTGCTTGTTACATGGGTGCTGCCTTTGAGAACTTGGCTTGTACTTATTTTCTTAAGTTTCAGTATGAGTGGTGCATCTATAGGTTCCTGAGATTTTCAGCCTATAGTTTGCTTGATGTGTGACCATTTGTTTAGGCTATCTTCATAGATAGTCTCATCTGTTTGTATTGAACATTGGGGTTTTGGCCTTTCGGCTTGTACTTTGCTATTATGGAATGAAGTTATCTATCGTTTC